TGATTGTTGGTTTTGGCGGCATTATTATTCGTTACGTTGTGTTGTGCCACCAAACTGATTCCAAATGGCATGGAAGCCAGAAGTGAATGTCATGTTTGTGATCAGGGCCGTCAGTAACCAATAAGGACTGAGATTCAGCGGAAAAGTTGCATGGCTCACAGAGATTTTGATCGGCGATAGTGCCAGCGACCTTAAGGAATTCGTTGCCCATGGTTACCCCACTGTATCGAAAATAGGTCGAAATCTCAGATTTGGTTGAAAACTTGCCTCTAGGGCTAATTTGAGCCCCAGAACACGAATATCACACTTGCTCGGCGTAAAAACGCTCGCCAAGGGAGTTGCAGGTCCTGCACACCCTGCCCCTCCAGAATGTGAACAAGACATTTTTATGAAAATACCTGCAGTGATGATTTCCAGAGCACCAGACCACTCTAATTCCAGATTTTGACAATCATGGGTTTGGTGTGCCTCACATACATGCTGGAAATGGGTGTGACCTGGTCAAAATTCCTGCATAACTTTGTCCAGGGAATCGTTCAGCAGAAATGGAGGGCAGATTTGTAATCAGCGTTCAAGGGCCCACCGGGCAGTATACATCTCATTTCGAATGGCCACTTCGACCAACCATCCTTTCCTTGTCAGAATACCGTACTTGAAAAGCCAACTGTCGGAAAAGACTCACATGTACGAATGTGGGCATCCAGGATGAGGGCAATTTGTGCATCCTTCGCCTTCCTTCATTGATTCAAACGGTGGATTATTGTAGCAAAATGGGCAGAACGCAAAGCTTCTTGCGAGTTTTCCACTTCGGAGACCCTCAAAGCGAACTTAGCACAACCCAGTAGGCCAGGGCGTTGTCAGGGGGAGCCAATCTTTATTGAATGTGGTGGTCTGCCAGCTGCCACGATTGGTGGCGAAAGAGCTTTCGCTACTCCGAGTTAGCTCCCCCTGACACGCCCCATTATCCGCAGCGAACAAGACTGCGCGCTCTCAGAAGAATACAGACTAAGGCTTCTCAACGGGGCAGCTTTCTATTTCAGAAGTTAGGCGACTCACATGCCAATAGACGAGCTCGAACTCGTCCAATGGACACTTCTTTTCTCCGTACGGTCGAAGAACACCATCCTTGAAATTCGGCACGGAATAGGTCTCCTGCAATATCATCTTCGAATTAAAATGGAAAAAATGGGAAATGAGAAAATGTCCGTTATTAGGTTGTCGCTATTACGAGAATGCTGAGCTAGGCAAAAGCGTGTCCTCCGGAGGACTTGTCCCCCTTATCTGGCGAGTGCGCTAACCTCTAGACCAACGGGGCCGCTTTCCACCTTAACTCCCATGAGTTCCTGTTTACATCAAAGGAAAATATGTGACCAATATACATGGCGCATTACCCACCTTTCACTGACTTTCAAGCATTCCGGCCATATTTTGATCGGGACTTTACCCTAGATTTGGCCAAAATTTGGGACTGCACTAAACACGTTTTGAGGAAAGTTAATATTCCGAGGTGTTTCGATGCTGGAGCTTGTAGCGCAGACACCAGGCGGTCTCGAGTTGAATGGACCTTACAGTCGTTACCATTGAAGTCAGTCGGGTTGTGTCAGTGGGGCTTGGATCATGGCGCGGCGCCAGCTCTTTTTCTGCCGCTCTTTGAACGCTTGAAGCCGCAACGATAGAGGAAAACGGGCGCGCCAATACCCATGCCCTGCTGGCACGCAACGGTTGACTTACAGAACGACTACACAGTCGTTTCCAAGGGGTAGAATCTCAGTAGACAAATTTCCGGCCAGCGTTGCCCATGGAGAAAATCCTGATTAAAATCTGCACTGAGTGAGACGGTAAATGGTAATGCAAGCCAAACATCAAGTACCTGGAAAGCACATTCCACACTGACCGCATGGATGGAGTTACGCTTACCACTATGCTTCCCCACTGGCCTTTTCCTTTTCTGGACTGTGAAGAGGAGGGGTGTGCCGCTGAAGAAAGCACAATGCTTGGCCTGACTCCGCCTATACTACCACGTGAAACGCATCTCAGCAGCAACAACCTAATGGGTAGGTCATAAACTGAATTAGGACTAAATGAGCAGTAGACGGTTTTTCTTCAAAATGTAGCCCATAGTATGAACTACCTGACATGTGGAACAGAAAAGACGTTGCGGTCTCGTGGCGACTAGTTTCATATATCGCCTGCATTTGCCGCATCGACAAAACGGTTTCCCTGAGTCCGACAGTGACGTGAACGATGCTGAAACTTGCGATTTTCCGATTCTTTACACTTCTATTACTTTGATTTCACTTCTTTTTCCCCTCTGTTTAGATAGTTCTGTTGATAACAATGTTGGTCTTTACGCTGTTGCCTTCTCGTCTTCTTTTAATTGTTAAGGCTCACGATGATCGTCGGGCGGGACAAAAACTATTGCGTATCGAACTTCCTACTTGGAGGCGATGTACACATCATATGGTAAGTACCACCACTGTGCCTTAGGCCCTTCTGAGGAAGATGTAGGGTGAAGGGCATCTGCCAAATAAAGAAAGCTTGACTGTTCGTCTGTCCCCGCATATTCGCCACCCACACGCATGATCTTGTATGGAGATCGGAGACATTGAAACTAAATAAAGAGCATTAAAAATAGTACCTTCGAATAGAGTGTCCACTTGAGCGATATTCTTCACATAATAGATGAACTTCTGTCGGAACATCTCCAGCGCATGATCTCTAACCTAAAAGACCAAAAGGTTCACAGGGTACACTCCGGTCATCGTATGGGCGGAGTCAGGTGTGCTCGCACCTCTGTCTTCTATTCATAGAGATGCGTCCCATATTATACGGCTACAAAGGTGGGATATCATGAGCAGGGCGCAATGAAATGTAGACCTGACCCCGCCTACGCGACCACCGCGGACATTACCTAGGGAAGAGCGTTGTTGTCCCTCTGAATAATGTCCCTTAAAATTGGACCGAGATAGACTAGATTACTTGAAAATCACAGTTTATCCTTTGCCCTCCAGAAGAGGAGGCGCATGGGGTAGAGACCCTGCATCGCTCTTGCACAAGCCGCAGGCTCAAATCTCAGCCAAACCTACCGACCCCTCTTTAGCTGGGGACCTTATCAGTGGCAGCCTTTGCTCGATTTACAACACCTTTGCTCGAGAGCATGCTCTACGCTGCTCGCTTGCGCAGAGCCCCGCCATCCGACCTCCTCTTCTGCACGCCACTCCTTTTTATTGCTCTAGAAAGGATGGGAAGCGCAATCGTGGGCCCGGCTCCACCCATACGGCCAGCGTGGAACGTGCAAGTAGCCGCTTCAAGTCGTTGCACGGGTCTGACATGCACTTAGTGTGGCTCCAGTTCCAAATGAATGCAAAGACATGGTGGAAGACAGTAGAACTAAACAATGTTGGACCACTAATTTCATCCCTTTCTGATATCCCTTCTTTGGAAAACCTTCTCATGACAGTAACGTGCTAAAAAAACTTACCGCTTGATAGTTAGCTTTTCCTTGAGCGATGAGGATTAAGTTGAGTTTCAACTTCCGCCCTCATTGTTGGCAGAACAAGTTCTCTGTCCACTCGCCAATAGCCATGAACAAGAGATATTCCTAGCTGCGTTGGCACCAATCGTCGACCGCTCTCTACCTGCAGTAGGTTATTAAACTTACAAGTCAAATAAATATTTTCAGCGTCAAACATCTCCCGTCCAGATTGGAAACGTTGTGCCCTGAGTTATTCGAAGGGAGACTACTTCGGCTTTGAAGATGTCATCCCGGTATGGGTAATGTAATAGTCCGCGATAATCGTGCATGGGCGCGGACAATTCATGTCAGCCGCTGGGAACGTCCTACTTAGGCGACCCTTTTGGCTGACGCGTACTAAAAAGAGCAGTCACTGATAAGAACATAGGCGGAGATTCATGCCAATGTGCCTTCTTCCTGGAGACCGCTTTTTCACAAGGACGGTGAACACTAATCGTGGGCTGTCAACGCGAAGGGGCGCCGAGAAGGCGATGAATTGATCACGCCATCCAATTTATCGTGGATTATCATATAAAAAACGTCAGACATTCAACGCGGCAACGAGAGAAAATACCTACAGTAACATAGTTCCTTTGGCTGATAGTATTGATGTGAACTGGAATGGATGCATCGGTGCCAATACCGTGTTTCTCCATCAACGTGATCAATTCCGATTCGGTGAGGTAGCCAGGCGGGGATGTCTCGCCAGCATGTAGACCTGATTCCCTAAATAATGAGAGGTTGCGAAGTAAAGAAGACAACCCCATGGGTTAGAGACTAATCTCCAGAAATAATGTTATCCTGTGGGCACAGGTGCTGCAGAAAGCACTGTGCTGCCACCAAGCAAAGTGAGAGCCTACTTACCTGAGCGTAAGTTGATCTCCACGACTTAATACCGGTACCTTCTGATCGTCATCAACGTTCAGCCAGGTCATCACTTCAGTGAAACCCGGATCTTTAACGGTTTTCTCTGTCAGTTGGAAGATTTCATCAGCGCAAGAAATCCTGTAAATTTATTTACTGGGAGCGAAACTGCGCAAAACTTTCAGTGAGGGATGCTTCTCCACTGCTGATAATGGCGCTAAGGTGGTGGGGAGGAGGGAGG